AGAGTCAAATACAAAATCAGCTTCAGAAAATATTGTCTTGGCTATCTATTTTTCCCTACATCTGTATTTTTAGCTTGATACAGATTAATACAACTGAAGTTTATTTGGCTTTTTGAAACATCTCTTTTCTCCTTTTTGCACCACAACATTTAAGGATTAAACCCAGAGCAATCCACTACATATTATCTTTTAAAAATCCTGAGACTGATGTCCACATTTTATAAGAGTGCTTAATTTACACACAAGAAACTCTGTTCTTAAAATTTAATTCTGCACATACATAGGACTGGCTCCCATTAATTGTCTCAATCTACTTTGGTTTTTATTTCTCCACTTCTTTACTCATCACTTGCTAATTCATGTTCATTATATTCTATTCAACATGTTGCCAATTATGAAAATGACATATATTAAAATCCTGAAGTGGGTGACTAATATTAACATTTTAGACTTTATTTATTACCTGTTTATGACAACATGATATTGTAGTACTCAGATGAGAATAAGTGTTCTGTGGGTGGCAATAGTTAGACGTGAATTAGCCTGTGCTGTTCTACTTGGAGCTGTGGCAGATGAGCTGTGCTGCATTCAGTCTGGAGAGGAAAACATTACCACGAAGGAAAATATGGAAAGCACAAGAGGTTGTGGTGTTGCAGCACCGTTAAACAGTGATCCTGAAAGCCTTTCAAAGGTTGAGCAGCAATGCTCTTGGAAACTTGAAGTCCTTTTAAGAGTGCACACATACCCTGACACAAGACCCAGGAGTTTTGCTTCTGTGTGATTCTTAGAGGGTTTTCTTGGTCCAAACTTCTCCACCTGGTGCAGCTGCAGCTGTTTCAGTTCCTTTCAGTCCAAAATAGCGTCTTAAAAGGACTGAGAAACAGAAGAGAAAGCAGACAAAATTAATAAAAAAAATACACACACCCACATATATATACACATATACATTTGAAAGAGACCCCCACATGGGGGTCTAAAGGAGATGGTACTAAAGGAGAGCTGCTAGGGGTTACCAAGTGACATCTTGGTGAAGGGCAAGTAAAATGGCAGAATCACAAAATGGGTCAGGTTGGAAGGTGCCACAGTGGGTCATCAGGTCCAACCTCCCTTCTCAAGCAGAGTCATCCTAGACCACATGGCACAGGATTGTGTTCAGACAGTTCTTGAATATCTCCAGTGAGAGAGACTCCACAACTTCTCTGGGCAATGTGTTGCAGTATACTCAGTCACTCACACAGGAAAGTTCTTCCTCATGTCAGAAAAATTTGCAGGACAGAGTAGGAAGTTTGCTAACTAAAGCAAAAATCTGCTTCCTGCTATTCCAAAGATACTTTCAATTAGGTAGGATTAAAATATTAGTCAGGAATGAGCAGTAAGCATACTACAGTGAGATGCTGAGAATATGCCTGGATGGGTTTTTCCATTTGGAAGAATTGCTTGGGACAGATATGATCAGTAGTCCTTCTGTTGTGGAAAACCATTTATTGTTCACAATGTTTTACAGGGGATCTGAAAAGGGATAGAACATAGAGAACTGTTGTAGCTCATGAGACTGCAACTCTGCAAGAAGCAGACTCTTTAATTAGTCTCTACTGAATAAGAAAAAGAGATCCTGAAATCATAGCTCTGGAGATTATGGCATTACCTCTCCCTTCTCTGCTGTTGGTGAGAACCTGCAGTGCGGAAGGACTGGGAAAAAGGCCTGCACAGATGGAAAACAAGCCCATGTGAAGATAAGAGTAGCCAGGAAGGACCCTTTGGCTGCTCCTGCACTCCGGGACACGCCTGCTGTGCAAACCGGCCTCCTCCCAGCCACTCCCAGCCCTGACTCTCTGGATAAGGATACTTACACAGGATACTTACACAGGATACTGTCAGGGACACTGGTCTGCTGCGGAGTTGGAAGACATGGGGAGACAGGAAATGTACCCAGCTGCTGGGTTGGTGATTAGGAACCCATACTAGCTTTCACTGTTAAGGTGAAGTGGGAAAAGACTGAAAAAACCCACATCCAATCACACCAGGACAGGTATTAGCAAACACCAACCATGACCTTCATCATGATGACTTAACCAGCTACAACACTGAAAGGAGTATTTCACAAAGAAAAGCAAGCAAAACTCTTTCCTCGACAACGGGCAAGATCAATGCCAGGCTCAATATCCTTCATTTTAACCTGTGAATAGGCATTCAGTTGGAAAGAGTTTGTGATGAGGTAGAGTCCTCTCCTTTTCCTCTTAGGGGCCAAGAGGAAATTGCAGTAAAATTCCTAGTAGCGTTTTCTTTTACTATTGGCAGGGTAATTTGCTTTTACAGCCCATATGAAAGAAATACTCTTATATTCATTTATCAAAATCCAAGATGCTGGACTGGAAGGCCAGGCAGGGTAATTACATACACAACAGGCAACTGCAGGCTTCAGACTGTGTTTGCTCTACCTCTTGGGTATTTGTTTCAACTTGCAGCTGGAGAATCAACCAAAGTCTCTAGAAAAAGCCAAAATCTGATAAACTTGCATTTGGGGGAAGAAAAAAAAAAGTGAAATCCTATTAGAGTTCAAGTACATTGGGTAACTTACAAATTGAGCAGAGGAAACACACAATGGTGTTAAATGCTCACAAAATCGGATCTTTCTGTAGTCCTCTTACTGCCCTGCATTTACGTCTAAAACCTTAATCTCATTTTAACATAGAAAGCAGTGAGACGGATTTGCTAGGATTAGTCTACGTGAGAAAAAGAGAAGTTAAGGTGTTTACTGGCTAAGGAGTAAAGATATTTAGAGAGTTGTTCTGAAACATAGTTTCTAAGGGATGCATTTTTTTTTCCTAAATCATTATAAGCGGCAGCTGGACTGAAAAACAAAGCTGAAGAGGTTTCCTTTCAAATTCAAAGCAATCCTAGACTTCAGCTGTAGCCTTAAAAATGCACACACAGAAAAAGGATTCATTTTCATCTTTTAACAGAAATGCCTTCACTAGAAAGGATGCAAATGGTGTCCAAAAAGCAACACTTGTGATAGAAGCCATGCCAGCTTCTTGAGTGCAAGCTACAATATGTGCTGACAGCTTAAGCAATGAGAGGTGCAAGATTAGTCATTGCCCTGCTATTCACAGCAGCTCGTTTCTTCACTGGTGATCTGCAGAAAAGCAAAACAGAATTCCAAACACCAAACTTCAGGATTTTTAGTGACAGTGAAAGCAGTGAGAAATCAGTATGTGCAACTGTCGCATGTTTAACTGCAGCATGGAACTGAATCCTGCAAGGGTAACTGTATAACGAACAAAACAAAGTTCAAAAAAGAAGAAAAGTGTTGAACAGTTCCTTTACTGGCAGCCTCAGAATTTAGCTTGTAAACTTTTTTAAAGCATTTCAGAATTTGTAAAGATATGGCAGATAATGAATTCTGTGTAAGTTCCAGTAAACTTACGACCAGACTGTATCTGGCTGCACTGTACAATGTTTTAGATAAAAGCAGAAGTTATAGGGTGAAACTGCCAGAATATTTACTGTAAGCTTATACAATTAATCAGCAAGATTGTCGTAAGTGTTGTAACACTTTACTGTATTTACTTATCTGCTCTACAACACCAAGACTTCAAGCTTCTCAGGCAGAACTGCAGAATATGCAGGTTCACTTCGGTGGCAGAAGGTACGCAATTTTATTTCTCCATTTTGAGAAGAAAGATGAAAAGCCTCAACACCTTTGCTGTGGGATGGCTTGTTGCTTTTTGGTTTTTTTTTTTTTCTTTCATTGATTTATTCCCACTGTCTACCCTTATCATGATCCATTTATAGAAAATTGATCCAGTACTTTGAAGACATGGAGATATCTAACCGAACTTCTGCAGCATGCAGTCAGGAGCAGGCCAAGTAGTCTGGAGCTGGAACAGGGGATTTTATAAAAAATAGGAATAATTTTGCCTTTAAATTCACCACGTTTTTTTTAGAATTTTTCATTTGTTATAACATAAAACATCAATGTAAATCACAAGTATGACATTTTAAATATGAAGTGACAACTGAGCATGTTAAGTAGCAGTGGCATTTTAACTGGATTTTAACACAGCAGTCCAACCATGCAAAGGTGTTACTCGTAGTCAAACCTGAAAACAGAAAGCATGTGTTTTGACAAGGCATTTTATTGTGATATCAAATCTTTTTTGTTAGCAGTCAGTCATTGAAAACAATCTGTACACAATCTAATTTAGTCAACAAAAATAGTTTTACAACTTTAAGTGATGTGCCCCATTTATATAACTTGTTATGCTCTGAAGTGATGCTCTTCATTGTTTGAATCCTCACATAAACAATTACCAGTTTTAACATATATGAAATTAAGATTACGTTCTTCTCTCAAAAGTACAAAAAATAACACTTTAAATATACAGTGGCTTCTAAGCTTGAGACAATCCTGTCAGGAAGAGATAAACAGTGCCTTCAACATCAAGAGCTCTTCAAAGTGCTTGGCAGAGTGTGTGAACACTATCCCCACTTACTAGATAATGAAATAAGGCACAGAGGTCAACTACCTTGCCCCCAGTCACATAGAGAATGAGTGGTAGAATTAACAGAGCAGAATTCGGGGGTTTCAGTTCTCCAGTGTAACCATCACATCTCACTGCCACTATTCAAGTGCAATGGCTTAAAGGTTTCTGAGGAGCAAAATGTGTACAGCACATAGTAAACAGGAAGGAAGATTCAGGGCCAGTTAAAGGCTGCAACAGTTTCAACCCAAACCAAATTAATTTGGCAGTCAGTAACTCATAATGCACTTCAGGGAATGATTACATAAAGAATTATACATTAACCTGCAGGGAGAAAGCTCATTAAATGTAAGAAATACAGTGTTAGCTTTTCAAAAAGTACTGGTTGTTTTAAGCTTCACAGTAGCTCAGGTATAATGTTAAGTTTGTCAGAGAAGTGGTACTTCGTGATCAGCAGATGTCCTAAACATTGTTCTCCTACCAGCAAGGTGAACTTATATGGAGAGTCACACAGAAAAGCACAAAACCCCACATTATTTGCTTGCAAGGTATGGACTAAGTGGTAAAGAAATATCAATCCAGAAAAACAACATAGTCTAAAATAAATATGGTTAAGGAAACTGAGTCACCCATCCAAAATCACCAAGAAATGCATCTTTGGATAGCTTATCTTGCAAAAAAAAAAGTGTGACACATGTAATCCCTGCCTGGATGAGAAGCATTCTCTGGCCTAGCTCTCTGCTGACAAACAAGCATTTCAGAAAGCCTGTGCTTGGATAGGATGCTCATGAGACGACTCATTTACTGACAGAGGCTGATGGGATTTGGAAACAAGTACACTTTGATTCTGTTCTTCACTGACTTGATGGGAAGGAACCGTATCATGGCTAGAGTGAGACTGCTGACTTGATTCCTGAGCCATCTGCACGTGCTGAGCGGGATGTGAAGATCCCGCCAAGTGGATTTGTTCATTTTGTCCTTGATGAGCATGGAGATGTTCTAGTGCTTCCTTGGAAAGAGTGATGACATGCATTTGTTCAGGTTGGGCAGCCTCTATTTGGTTTGCAATCACATTGATACTTTGGATTTGTTCTGCTTGCTCCTGCTGAGCTGAAAGCAGCAAGTTTTGCAGCTGCTGCGGCGGCTGCGCAAGGAGCGCGAGGTTTGCAGCCTGCTCTGTTGTCATGCTGGGGGCATTTTCTGCAGTCACAATACTGATGCCTTGATTGTGGCTAGGCACGAAGTTGATGTTGTGTACTGCATCTGTAACCAGCAGCTGAATTTCCTGCCCTCCTGAGGTGGCAAGTTGGTACTGCTGCAGCTGGAGAATGTTTCTCACTTCTTCTGGATGAGTGTTGGTGCTCGAAGCGGCACTGGCTTCCTGAAACTGCTTTTCCTTGCTGTGAATTTTCAAATGAGACTTCAGGTTGTCCAGACGAGCAAACTGCAAACTACATTCTGGGCAGGCAAAAGGCTTTTTGCCTGTGTGTAAGATACAATGTCTTCTCTTAGCACTGGAATCAGAGAAGGATTTTCCACATATATCACAAGAATATGGCTTTTCTCCTCTGCAAAAGGAAAGAAATTTATCTCGTTAAAACATTCACTTTGACAATGCTGCTTTCTGAAACTTATTCTGTAATAAAATACTTAAACGATTACATTGTTTTTCTGAATTGTAAGCACTTTAAGGGCAGTGTCATTAAAAGAATCCTCTATTTGACTTCACAAACTGTATAATTAGTATATACTCCAGAGCTACAGAGATAATTGCCTTCCTCTCATAAAACCAGAGGTACAAGCTCCATGCTGCTAGACCTTGACAAGAGTGCAACAACTTTGCACAATTCTAAGCACTGACCATTTTAAGAACATTCATTAACAGTGTGAGCTTAAAAACAAACAGTATCCAAATCCTAACTTGCTGCCTGTGTCAAAAGGATAAGAAATTTTACTGGAAATGTTTTCTTAGACAACAGCTCTCCAGTGATTTAAAATCTAACGTGTCTTTATGCAATACAATGTACTGACAGAGGTAAAAGACAATTAATGCTATTAGAGCTCACAGAATAACAGGACAATGCTCCAAGAACCTTGAAACACCGTGGTTACTGTTCTGCTGTCTAATAAAACTTCCAGTAAAATTTTCACAAACTAGAGCAGTAAGTTCATTGTCAGTGAACAGACACAAAACACCAAAGAAGACTCTTACAATATCTTGGCACATGAGTATTTAGGACTTCAGTACTTTCCACTACCGATCTTTTCCTTACATAGATTAAGCAAAAATGTCAAGTTTTTAACAGTCATTCAAAATGCAAACAAGTCCTGACCGTTCTATAATTAAACAAGCACTACATCCAAATTATAAAATTAGAAGTTACATTTTTAAAGAATGTAATGAAAATAAGACATACTTTACCTGTGAATTCTAATGTGAGTCTGAAGTGAAGTTTTAGCTGTAAATGATTTGCCACAAATCTCACAAGTGAAGGGCTTCTCACCTATCAAAAAAAAAATGTGACTTCAGTTTTAAATAGCACTTTTCATCGATGCATTAAAAACATATTGTATTTTACCATACACAGTATCAAGGGTGCACTGTTGGCTCTTCATGCTTCTGCCATGGGTCAGCAGATATCCAAACTGAATGAACTCACTATCAAAATGAGGGTATAACATTTTAAATGCACACCTCTAGCATTTCTCCCCTTTGAAGATGAAGAATTAGGTGATCCAAGCCCCCAAAGCAACAAAAAGCTGTATCTATGGCACAGATGTGGGTGTTCCACATGAACAGAAATGCTTTGAAGAAAGCTGTCCCTGAACCCTGGCATTAATGGTAGGTTCACGTGCAGCACCATGCAGAGGAGTAAGCCCAAACTTCCAAACCTGGAAAATGAATCCATTACCTTAACAACTTGCCTGGCTTTCTATAAGGCCCCATCACACTAGGCCTATGATATTTTGGGAACATCAGTTAGTAAAAAATTAAATTATCTTGAGTTAAATAAAACATGAGTTTGTTTGGAGATTTTTTATTTGTTTATTTTGTAGTGCATTTGAAATTCTGATGTCTAATTGAGTAGAAGCAGAGAGGCCAAATTAAATCATAAGAAAGTTCACAAGAAACAGATACTACCCAACCAAAGCAAATCCTAATTCACTGCCTAACAAATTCTTGTAGCACTGAGGTTCTTTAAGACACTAGACATGAGAATCCAGATCACCATTGTGGTAATTCACACCATCAAAGCACACCAAACCCAGAGATTGGGCAGCAGCCAGTTTCCAAGGAAGCTTCCCATTTAGCATAGAACTGCAATGCTTACCAGCTTTCATGTGGCTTTGGAGGGCATGGATAAAGGATGAGAGAACAAGAAACATTTGTCAGAAGGGACCTCTGCTAAAAATCAGCTTAGCTCATATATTTTTGCAACTTACCTTGCTAGTAAGCTTCCTCTTCTCATTTCCCACTACATTTAGAGAGTTGTATCAGCTTCAGATACAAAACTCTTGTGTATGTCAACACTGTGTTCTCAAAAAAATATTATCTAAGTATCACATGCTAACACTATTCTGGATAACCAAAAACTCCCAGAAGCACACGTTTTGACCCCAGCATATCCCAGAAAATTTAAATCTTTTTCACTTAGAAAAGAGGAGAAAATGAACGAGGTAAAGCATGCTTGAGACTGAATTATGTATTACAACTGCAAGTGACACGTTTAAGAATAATTTGATTTTGTGAGGAAACAACTGCCACTGTTTCTAGTTATTTTAAAAGACAAAATTATTCACATTACCTTATGAACTTACCCTTCAAAGGAAAGTATTTTATGAAGTTTTTGCTTTTTTATTATGAGAGGATAGATCACCATTTTTATCTCTGTTATCCAGTGATTCATTACCAGCTTGCCCTCTAAATCTCTTAAAACACCCTCTGACGCACTTGCATTAAATCATCCCTCCCAGCTCATCTCCTCTCAACATCTGGTTTATTACAGCACAGTAAAAGCTAAATGAAAATAATTATTTTTCTGGTAACAGCACTTTTCGTAAGCAGCCATCCCTCACAGACAGAGGTGTCCAACTCATTTAGGACACACTTTCTGTAACTTTCTGTTACTTGCCAGCTCACTGCAAGCCCGATACATGCTGGATACTGCTCTTCTGACAAACTGAATTCTCAGTCCAGGATTCTATCACAGGAAAGCTAACTGACATTTTCTGCAGCAGTATTTATAAAACTGGGGAAAAAAGCCCTCTTCCTGTAATAGGCAGTGCTTCTGTGCTGCTGTAACACAACCGTTTTTGTGCTCCTGCATTCTTGATGTCAAATCTCTTAATTAGCAACACAGGCATCATTAAGTACAAGTAGAGCAGAAGTTCATTCCACAGAGACAAGCATAATTTGCCTAACATTGTTTAGGCATAACATGCCTAACATGTAACTTCAAGAAAAAACAAACCACAAACCTCACAAAACCCATGGTAGAACATTACCTGTATGTGTTCTTAGATGTTTCTTTAGCTGAGCTGCGTCCATGAATTTGCGACGACACTGGTTACATTCCGGCAGTGAACGGCCTTGTCGCAATAACAAAAAAAGTGTCAGTGCATAAGTGATCCCCTGTATCTCTTCAGTGATCTTTGTTAAAGCACTTTCCTGTAAAATAACCACTTTGATATAATATAGAGATAAAACAAAAGGTGATTCACTGTCTCCTCCCTATCCTGTCAGACTCCTATTCCTCAATTTAGTATTACCACAGGAAAAGAAGGGACTGACACCTGCTCCTGCCCAAAAACACCTTGAAGCCTTGTAAATTCTGATTTTCTCCTCTATTTCCTCTGTGTGTATCTCCATCCCATCCCAGAAATGAGAAGAGCACTTCCTAAAGCTTGTATGCCCTTACTAGTCCAAAGTAGTGGGCAACTACAATGCAATTTGCACACCAGGCAGCAGACACAATTGTTTATACAACCCCCAGCTTTTATGTAGCATGGACAACAGGGCTAAAATAATCAAGCTGTATGTCAAATACAGTGTAACTAATTTTTAATCATCATAAGAGCCCTTTTCAATTAAATACTTTTCTACAAATTCCATTTACTATACACCATTATGTCTTTTTCGCCCTATCCACTGTTATACCAAGATATGACACATCAAGGTAGCACAGACTAAATACATCACTGAGGAAGAACTTTCAGCCTAAGTCAACCGTTAGGAAGACAAATCAGCATGGACTGTAAGCCAGATCCTCAACTCAAACTTGTTATACCTGTGTGTAGTCGATAGTGGCTCTTGAGCTGTCTCTTTTGGCTGAAGTATTTCCCACACTGATCGCAGGTAAAAGCTTTCTGCCCTGTAGAGAAGATCACTTATTAAAATGTAAGCCACGTCCAGAGCAAGTGTAAGGAAATAAATAAAATACACAAGCTAGCTGTGAGGAGCTGATTCAGTTTTGATTTGCCTCAGCAATGGTTGTCAGAGGCACATGGTGGAGGGGTTGCACATGTGCCACATGCAGAAGGCAGCTAGAAGATGGAGGAAAGACCTGTCTCTGGGGAAACCTTTCCTTGCAACCACTTCATGTCTCACATGGGACAGGCAGTCAGCAGGGGAAGACACTGTATCCCAGAGACACTCTCCAATCAGATGGTAAAAGGTCTCTAACATGGACTGCAGTGGGATATTGGACTAGGCCAATGGTCTGTCAGCAGGTGGAGGATATGAAGAGTAATTGCATCACAAGCCTCTGGGCTCTTTGAATCTGTTTTTTGAGTTGGGCTTTTGGCTTGGGGCTTTTTTGAGACTGGGCTTTTGCTTTTGAGGCTTGGTAATTCAAAGGGTTTTTTGAAACTTCATTTTGAGTCAGGGCTTTTTGAAGCTTATGCTTTTTGCCCTGGCCCCAGTCTGCCTTTTGGCTCTCCTGTCCTCGCTGGCTCTTGCTCACCCTCGCGTCCATCCTGCCTTCCTGTGTCCCTGACCAACTCCTTGTCTGCTTTGTCCCAGAGTTCCTGCCTGAGCCCCCAGTGTCCAACCCCACCCACCTCTGAGCCAGCCCACTGCTGTGATCCTCACCACAGCTGTGTCCAGAGTTCTGGTCCAGGGCTCTGGGCCTCCTGCCTGAGCATCCCCTCACCTCGTGTCCAGCTGCCCCTCACCACAGGAGCCATGCACAGGCAGGCAGCGTGCACAGCCTTGTCTTGTGAACGTCGAGGGCACTCCCTGACCTCCAGTGGTCTCTTTTTCTCTCTGTCTCCCCTCTCTCTCTCCCCTACTCCTTTCCCATTTTTCTTACTCTTGTTCTGTCTTTTCCAGCTCTCTTTAGTAGGGTAACTCGTTTTTGTTTTGTTTTTTTGTTACCAATAAATGGTTCTCAGATATAATGTCTGTCTCGTTTGGCATTATTTTGTTCCTGACCGTCTATTTTTAAAAGAACTCTTTGCAGTTTCCCTCAGTGGAACGTGACACCAGCGAACACAAGACAGATCAGATGTACCTTTTTTTCAGAAAGGAAAAATCGTGCAGCAGAGAGCTACATTTGCCTTGAAGTATTTACCTGAATGTAGGCTCATGTGCTCCAGAAGAGAATGCTTTGTTGTCAGAGCCTTACTGCAAATGGTGCATGTGTACGGCCGTTCCCCGGTGTGCATCCGCTCATGGACTTGAAGTGAATGCTTCTGGGAAAAGCCTTTGCCACACTCACTGCATTTAAACGGGCGCTCTCCTGAAAGCACAATATGACATTTTTAGGCATAGATGTGATCATTTCTCACTAGATATTTTAAGACGGTAGTGAGATATGCTGCAATGTTGTAGCTACTGAGAAAATTAGTCTTGATTAGTGGTAAAGAGACAAGCTTCACGCATGAATGAAATAATTCTTTATCAATTGCCATATAATTTACTGCTTAAAAAATGAAATTATTAATTACACTGAAATCTAGGTGAGACGTAAAAGTTCTGAGATCTGCTGACAAGAATAAAACAGCAAACACAGAACACATCATAATTTGGATCAGGATGCTATTTTGGATATTCCTGCTGTAGTCAACAACCAGCACTTCAACAGTCGCTTGCATTTGGCAACATCACTAAACCTAACCCAAAAGCAGCAGTCTCTGAAGGCCTACCTGTATGGCTTCGCTGGTGAATAGCCAAGAAGTGATTATGCTTAAATACTTTTCCACAGTCTTTGCAGCGAGCCTCAGAACCTGCACGTTTTCTTTTCCCATCAGTTCTCTTGGCCAGTCCTTTCTCATCTTCATCCCCAAGAAGTTTATAATCTTTTAGTTTGATTGATCTCATTATTCTCCGTTTGCTGTAACGGCTCTGAGTGCTCTGTATTCCTTCAGATTTGGGATCGTAGTTTTCATCTTTCTCAGCTGAGAGATCAACAGCAGCCTCTGAGCCACAAGCAGGTTCAGTTCCTTCTCCATCCTTCCTCACTGAAGCCTGTTCACTGGCTACTGTTTCTTCTACTTCAGTGTCTTTTTTCATATGATTTTGCTCATTTTGCATGGAGTTGTTCTCTCTCAGCTGCCCATCTTCAGCAGAATTTGCTCCGGATTCTTCTTGTTCTTCTTGGACAACCTTGATTTTCCTTGGTCGTCCCCGTTTTCGCTTTGGTGGATCATCATTTTTCCTTTCACTTTCAACAACAGAGGCTCCACTTTCAGCTGGAAATGCACTACCCGGGCTGCGGCTTTCCAGGTAGTCTGTACAGGCCCATACCAAGTCAGTCACTTTCAGCAGTTGTGCAGTAGCCAGGATTTGTTCTGTGCTATTCTCACTGGCACAGAGGCAGCCAGTGTAGATAAATTCCAGCAGAAGTCCAAAGGTGTCTGCAACCATTCCCTCCAACATGTAAATTGACTGCCCTATTTCATCCTCATTTACAAACATCATTGAGAAGTATTCACTGCTGGCAGCCAGCAAAGCTTTATGGGCTCTGAATTGCACATTCTCCACTATCAGAGTAATATCACAAAGAAAATCTTTTTTTCTTTGTTCCTCAAAATTAGCTAGGATGGTATCTTTGTGAGCTTTGGAGTAGATGATCAGTTTCTCAGAAGGATCAGTTGTTTTTGCCATTTTAATTATGAATATTAAACAAGGTGCCTAGAAAAACAGAATAGCTTTAGTAAAAAGTTATTTTAACAGTCGGCATTATAAGACTCAAGTATCATTTGTTATACCACTGAGTTCAAGTTTCTGAAGCAGTTCTGAATCCTCTGAATTTTTGAAAAATCAACACTATTGCTGACATGGAATTTCTTTTAAAAGTATTTTTAAATCCTATGAAAAGGCTACAGATAGTTTTTTAGATCAGAATTACTGCCTATCTTTTTTATCTCTGATGTACTGTGAACTCTGTATTACCTAAAAAAAAAATGCTACCCTAGCTTCTGAAACTAAAACAGTCAGAGAAACAATTCCTTGGTCACAGCTCCTTAGTACAGCACTGGCTTTGCATGGCAAGGTTTGGGTAGCAGGGAAGCCACTACAAGGGTGGCTTCTGTGAGAAGCTACCAGAAGCTTCCCCATGTCTTACACAGCCGACACCAGCTAGCTCCAAGATGGACCCACTGCAGGCCAAGGCTGAGCCCATCAGCTGATGCTGGTATCACCTCTGGGATAACAGATTTAGTATGGGGGAAGAAACGTACACAACTGCACCTGGAGAGAGGAGTGAGAATATGTGGGAACAGCAGCCCTGCAGACACCAAGGTCAGTAGAGGAGGAGCTCCAGGTGCCAGAGCAGAGATTCTCCCACAGCCCCTGGTGCAGACCATGGTGAGGTTGCTGTGCCCCTGCAGCCCATGGAGGTCCATGGTGGAACACAGATCCACCTGCAGATCCTGGAGGACCCCACACCAGAGCAGATGGATGCCTGAAAGAGGCTGGGAGCCTGTGGGAAGCCTGTGTGGGGACAGGCTCCCAGCAGGACCTATGGCCTCATGGAGAGACGAGCCCACACTGAAATGGGTTTGCTGCCAGGATTTGTGACCCCATGGAGGACTCAGGCTGGAGCAGACTGTTCCTGAAGGACTGCACCTGGGGAAGGGATCCAAGCTGGAACATTTTGTGAAGAACTGCAGCCCATGGGAAGGACTCAGGCTAAAGTAGTTTGTGGAAGAAGGAGTGTCCCCTGTGGGAGAGACCCAACACTGGAGCAGGTGAAGAGTGTAAGGAGTCAAAGGATAATCAAAGACGATGTGTGATGAACCAACTGCAGCCCTCATTCTCCATCCTCCTTCACTGCTGGAGGGAGGAGGTAGAGAAAACTGGGACTAAAGCTGAGCCTGGAAAGAAGGGAGAGGTGGGGTGAGCTGTTTGAAGATTTGGGTTTATTTCTCCTATCTGACAGTGATCTCATTGACAAGAAAGTAATTTCAAGTCAAATCTGTTTTGCCTGTGCTGGAAACTGGTGAGTGATCTCTCTGTCCTTATCTCAACCCATGAGCTTCTATTATATTCTCTGTCCCCTATCCACCTGAGGCGGGGAGTGACAGAGTGGTTCTGGTGGGCACTGGTATCCAGCCAGAACCAACCCACCACACCGGAAACAGAAACAGTCAACTGCAGTTTGATCAGTACAGTTTATTCAGGGACAAGGCTAGGGAATCCTGTAATAAATTATAAAACTTCACTGGTATCAGTGTGGCAGGACTTCACGACTTCTTTTACTCCCATCTATCCTTCCGAAAATTTCTCTTTTTTAACACTTTAACACTTTTAACTTTACTAAGCTTCAGCCTAAGAAGGTGGGCAATACAAACACAGAAACAGCAGTGTTTCGAAGGGTTCTGTCTAATATAGGGTTCATTGAGGTATCTGTTAACAATCAATTTGACTTGCTAAGCTTCTTCAATAGTAAATTTGCAAAAATTAATAACAAACAAAGAAAAAATCCAGCAACTTCGGAAGAATCCTCCAGATATTATGGAATCTACAAAGCTCAGCTAAAGCAAAGATAAACCAGATTAGCTACCTGTTATATCCTAATTTATACAGGTATAATATCAAACACATAAATTTGCGTATTTGTATTTGGTTATTGCCACAGTTTCAAACACCTCAACAAATGCTCCACAAAACAGCAGACACTACCTACAGCTGACACCTAAATGCTACTGAGATGGTGAAAAAGGGATACTTTAGCCCTAATCATCTACCAAATAGTTCACGGTGGAGACAAATTGTTTTATCTGTGGGCTTTAATTTCTGGAGTATGTGAGCCTGATGTTTGTTGCTGGAGCACCTTAAAGTTGGTGTGACCCAATCTGCCGTATTGTGCCTTACAAGAATTCCTGAATGGCTGCTGCCAACTCTGCCTGCAGGCATCCCCTAACACCCACGCATGTCCCAGACAAGGTAGCGGGTGTTTTGTGATTTCTGATCACATGAACGACTTCGGTATTTAGCCAGGAGACAGCATTAGTATTTTGACTGCAAAATCCAAACCACGCGCCTTCCCTAAAAACCCCGCACCATTATAGTGAGGCTGTGCTCCAGCAGAAGGCCCCACGCTGCCAGCAGTTGAGGCTGGATACACACTCCGGTCCAGCCGTGGAAGGGCTCAGAAGCTCCCGGGAGGTGACCCCGGGGGGCAGCGCACGGCCCGGGGCTGGGCCTCGACACGGGCACGGCGAAGGGCACCGTGCGGGTCACCGCCCCCCGCGCACCGTAAGAGCCCTTCGGGGCACCCCTCAAGGGAAGGCCGCTCGTTCCCCGCGGGGCAGGGGCAGGAGCAAGGAGCGGGCGCTGCCCCGCCAGAACCGCGGGCCCGGAGCACCCGGCCCAGCTGCCCGCCCGGCCCCAGCACTCACCGCTCGCCGCTCACCGCCGCTGCACTTCCGGGCCAGGGCTGGCCCCGCGCCTGCGCTGCCGCGATGAGCGCAACGCGGGCGGGGCTTGGAGCCACAGAAGCACAGAACAGCCTGGCTGGGAAGGGGGTCCCGTGGATCATTCGGTTTCAGCTCCCGGCCCTGCCCAGGACAGCCCCAAAATCACACCCTGTACCAGAATACCACATGTACCATGTTGCCAAATGCTTCTTGAACTCTGCCAGGCTTGGTGCTGTGACCACTTCCCTGGGGATTCTGTTCTAGTGTCCAACCACCCTCTGGGTGAAAAGCCCTAATAATTAAACTAATCCTCCCCTAGCACAACTGCAGGCCATTCCATCTTCGGGCCCTGTCACTGAGAAGGGATCAGTATCTGCCCCTCCTCTTCCCCTCACGAGGATAGTGAAGACTTCAAGGTGGTCTATCTTTTCCAGGCTGAACAGACCAAGTGACCTCAGCTGTTCCTCACAGTTTCCACTCAAGGCCATTCACTATTGTCATAGCCTTCCTTTGGACACTCTAGTAGCTTTATATCTCTCAACTTCAGACAAAATATTTTATTTTCATGGTTAAAAAACTGGCCTGAGAATGTGTGATGTTTGCAGGCCACGTTGGAGCCATGCTGGTTCCTGATGGCAACACTCCATGTGTTAATCAGTGGAAATACAGGGTTCACACAAAAGTGGGGCGGGTGCCTTTCAGGGAAAGAAAAGTCTGCAGCCTGTCATCAAAGCCAAGGGGCCGATCTCTTGGCTCCTTATATGGGCCCTTCATGACAGTCCCCAGGTAGGGGATGAGTTGGCAGTGCTCCACGAACTGCAGCAGCTTCTTCCTGTACATCTGCCGCACTGGCTCCGAGCTCCGGGGGTTGTGTGCTGCAAGAATTTAGGCAGCATGTTAGTGTCCTCTATAAATTCTGTGGAATTACCTTACAGAACTTTTCAAAGGGACCAAGTCTACCTCTGTCAGTGTTACCCACGGTACAGATAAACACCTTGACCATTAGTGCCAAGCCAAAAAGATCAAGTGTGGTATTTCAGAAAGTTTCTGAATCCAAAGGGTCACAATAATCAGAAGGATCAGGCTTTTGTAAAAGAAGACACAACAAACATGCTGAGCTGCTATCAACTTCCCATTTCTCAGACTGTGAGATACTGGTGAAACTCCAGGCAGTGACAAATTTGGGTAGTGTGGCACACAACCTGAAGTAGCACATCCTGGGAATAGCCCAGGTCTGGCATGGCAGTTGCTGGGTCACTGTGTCCTTAGCACAGGTGTTCTATGAACTAAATGCTTTGCCCATAAGGTGGGCTACCTTGTCATACAAGGAAGTCAAGTTTGATAAGCAAGACTGTGACCAACATGGCATCACAACAGAAAAGTCCTGCTTATCAAACCTGATTTCCTTGTATGACAAGGTAATAATCCACCTAGTTGACCAAGGGACAAGTTGATGTAATCTCTTCTAATTTCAGTAAAGCTTTCAATACTTTCTCACAATATCCTTCTGGACAAAATGTCAGGCACACAGCTGGATAAACACATCATGCCATGGGTGAGCAACTGGCTCACCAGTCAGACACAAAGGGTTACAGGGAGTGGGGTGACATTGGCCTGGTGACCTGTCACTGATAGGTTTCCCCAGGGCTCCATCCTCAGCCCTATGCTCTTCAATATCTTCATAAATTACTTGGATGCAGGACTGGAAGGGATACTAAGCAAGGTCACAGATGACACAAAACTGGAAGGAGCTGTTGACACTCTCCAGGGCAGGGAGGCCCAGCAGAGAGACCTTGGCAAACGAGAGGACTGGGCAATCACCAACCATATGAAATTAAATGAGGGAAAGTGCTGGAATCTGCATCTGGATGGGACAACTCTGGATGTACAGACAGACTGGGGACTGAGAGGCTGGAAAGCAGCACCTTGGAAAGGGACCTGGGAGTCCTGGTTGATGGCAAGTGGAACATGAGTCAGCAGTGCCCTGGCAGCCAGGAGGGCCAGTGGTGTCCTGGGGTGCATCAAACACAGCATCACCAGCCAGGCAAGGGAGGAGATTGTCCTGCTCTACTCTGCACTGGGGCAGCCTCACCTCGAGTGCTGGGGGCAGTTTTGGGTGCCAGAATATAAGAAAGGCATTAAGCTATTAGAGAGTGTCCAAATGAGGGCAACAGAGATGGTGAAGCATCTTGAGGGGAAACTGTGTGAGGAGCAGCTGAAGTCACTTGGTCTGTTCAGCCTGGTGGAGACTGAGGGGAGACCTCACTGCAGTCTTCAACATCCTCATGAGGGGAAGAGGAAGGGCAGACACTGATCTCTTCTCTGTAGTGACCAGGGCGTGAGGGAATAACCTGAAGTTGTGTCAGGGAAGAGTTAGGTTGGATATCAGGAAAAGGTTCTTCACTGGGTTGAGTGCCCACAGTGGTTGGGTACTGGCACAGACTCCCCAGGGAAGTGGTCACAGCACCAGCCTGACAGAGTTCAAGAAGAGTTTGGACAATGCTCTCCAAGAGTCAGTGGTTCTTGGGGATGGTCCTGTTCAGTGCCAGGAGTTGGACTCAATGATCGTTGTGGGTTCTGTCCAACTCAGCATATTCTATGATTCCATGATTCTGTGAAGACCTGACCAGTAGTTTGGAGGAGGAAGAAAAGTTACTCTCTGCCCTAAGCCCTATTTTGGCATACATTAATATTGAGTGCCAGTCCTCAGAGTACAGTATATTATTTTAATTGTTATCCTGAGGCAAAGGGGAAGGAGTGAGCCAAATCATAACAATTTTTTTTCTTATGGACAGTATTTTATATCTCATTACAAAAACTGGACAGCACAAAGAACTATGCTATAAGATACTTCAGCCCACTAGCTTTAAACTGTAGACAGCTATACTGAACAGTTTCTGAGAGATTTTTCAAGCATTGCTCTACATACAGCCCTTACAGGAGTCTAGCTTGAAGGACACTCAATCACTCTAGTGATATATGGTTTACTACTCTCTTTCCAGGGGTAAATCCCTCTGCATTTGTGGTTGATCACCTGTACCTCCTCAGATACTGAAAACAATCCAATGATGTGAGAGAAGCTGAAGGAGCAACTAAACCCCTGCTTCTTGTCCCCTACTTAAATGTGAGATTAGAGTATGATGTTAATTGAAGGTTTAACTTCACATAGAAATAGGATGAAATAAATTTCCAGAGGACCACAAGTTGAAGCACTTTGATCAAATTTTTTGATCAAGAATGGCATGACTATTCTGAAGAGATGCACAATAATAAATAATGCTGTATTTGCAACAAATCACAGAATCACAGGATGGATCAGGCTGGAAGGGACCACAGTGGGTCATCTGGTCCAACCTCCCTGCTCAAGCAGGATCATCCCAGAGCACATGGCACAGGATTGTGTTCAGATGGTTCTCGAATATTTCCACTCATGAAGACCCCAAAACTTCTCTCGGCAATCTGTTCCAGTGTTTGGTCACTAGCACTTGAAACAAGTTCTTCTTCATGTTCAAGTGATTTGTCAGTGTACAGGAATGCTACATCTTAAAGCTGGAAGCAGTCCTACCCAGCAATAGAAGAAGATAACTTGTTTTTCTGGATTCCTATGCATGAGGAGAAGAGATTTATGCACTTGCATAAACTTTCTGGTTCATCATCCACTACTAATAATGATTTAATGTTGCAATATGAGCAAAACATTCCTATCATGGGCATCCTTTTGTTAGCAAAGCCATGCTAATAATAGAATGAAAACAGCCTTTGTGAATGAAGCAAACTACAGTATAAAAGCAGTTTGGTGGCTTAGGAACTGTACATTTATGCAGGGGCTTACCATGTGCCTGCCCAGTTCAATGGTCTTAACAAAGCTGTGCTAGCAAAAATATCTGTGACAGTTCAAGAAAATTCTGGAGGGCTCTGGAAACTACATGAGGAAACACAGGATGTGAAAAGCTTCAAAGAACTAATTAAGATTGGTATTATCTAAATGAATAAGTAAAAATGTAAAATACAAAAGGCCAGGTGAAGTTCTCCCAGTGAACAGGTTGGCTTATAAAAGACAAAAGTGGTGAATTGAAAGAAATGTCAGTCTTGCTCCAGAAATTTCCAGCAGTACTGGAAACCAGCCCAAAAGCTATAGCAGAGCAGCAAACAAGGACATTGAAATCATGAAAGCTGGCACTAGTTAAGCTGATTGCAAACTATTAAAGATTATTACCTGCAACTGGTATCTCTGGCTGAAAAAACCCCAAACAGAAATTCTAAAAACTAGCAAGTATGACCACTAATTTGCTATCTATATTGTATCAGAGGATTTATGTCATTTATACAATTAGTTATTTTTACAGCATGCTATTTTATACGCTACCTTTTAGATGGAAGGAGACAAAAAGCAGAGCAGTTTCTTTCACACTTAGGAATGGAAACTTTGGCTTAAGACTGCCGACTTCATGCAGAGCTTTTATTAGAGAAGTTGCTACTCCCTAAAGAAAGAAAACAGATTTAAAAGACCATTAGAGAAATCTTGAACAATGCCTTATCCTGTTGTAACATAGATCTAACAATACAGGGCAATACTCTAAGTTGGTGAATAGTAGAAGATAACAAATTAGCATAAAATTGGGAGGGCTGTGACCGTGAATCATTTTTTTATTTATTCATGTGTCAAAGTGTAACAAACTACTCTTAAATTTTTCCAGGTAAGCTTGTCTCCATGCTGGTATTAAAAGTCAAACCAAAATATACTCTTACAAGACATGATAAACAACTAAGTCAGAAAATCTATCTCATAATACTGCAGCTTATTATCCCCCTCTGATGGTCTTGTATTTTTTCCATCAAAGCTACAAACATCTATTATTTTAAAGCTTTAAAAAGAATTGGTCTCAATTGTAACTGAAACTTTTCAATTTAATATAATCTTCTTAATAAATATAAGACTCAAATGCATTAAAGTTTTTAAAAAAACTGAGTGGATACTCTATGTATCACAAAATCATGTCTTAAAATAGAAAAGCAAAAACTGGCCTGTTCAAGGTATCCAGGCAAAGGAAGTGTTGTTAGTAGCATTGGCTCTTTTTTTGGAGGGAGTTTATGGGGAAGCTTCAGATTCCAGTACTTCTCTGGTAACCTAACCAGATAAAAAGTAAACACTTATAAGATGTATAAACAGTGACATGACTGAAGATTAAAATGCGGTTAGTGTATTCACCTCATAAACTTCTGAAGTTTTTCTTCACTTTCAAAAATATATACTTTTTCTTGGTATTTTGCTGCATACTCGATGTTGCCAGGCACCAAAGCTTCATATCTGAAGAGATGGAGCAAGAATTACTCATTCACAGAAAACGTAAAACATAATTTGTGTGGTGTAAATTCATGAGCTACTGGTAGCCTTCTGGTAATTTAGCAAGTGTAGCAACTACAAAATAAATAGCAATTGGATCATCCAAGTTTCCACTACATGACTGACAGTTACAAGGTTTAAAATCTGATAGAGCCTCTGCCTCAAAATCTGCTTATTAAGGAACTTTCATAGTGCTTCTTTAGAGCTCCTCCATTTGAAATGCCAATCGTAGTTGTTCAGGAGATTGAAAAGGTATAACACAGAACTGTGGCTATTAATATATGGCTATTATGGTTCCCCTCTGATGAGAAATATTTGCACACTGAGGAAATCTGTGTGACTTTATGGTGGAGCTTTATGGATCTCTTACAAACATTTTAATAGCTAGTTTTGCATCTACTAGAGATTTATGAGATTTCTTTGAACCTTTGAAGGGTTATGATACAGAGAATTCAAACTGTACCTGTCGATCTTCATCATGAAAGACACCAAGCTAACACTGATTCTTATAGAACCTATATCCATGTAAGTATTAAAAGGGGATTTTATCTTGATTTCCAAAGCCACAGGTGCAATATAGAGAATTTAAATCGCTTTTCCTGTCCAAACCCTGAACAGCATTAAAAGGTACTTTGAAAATATTTCCTCATTAATGCATTAATATAGGACACATAGTCTGTAATTCAGATTATGAGAACTCTAGTGACATACCTCTGTTTTCCATCTAGGTAAGTGACTGGACAGTATCCCTGCATTTCAGCCTTTACAGGGAATAAGGCATTCACTGCTGTTGCAGTCAGTTTCTTTGGAAGCATGTGTGGGGGTGGGAGAGGGTGAGATGCCAGTGATGATACATAAACCTCTGGTCTGCTCAAGAATTTCTGTAGAAAAAGAAGTGTTTTTATTATGAAAGAAGCACTGTAGGACTGTTAGTCAAACTCCAGAAGACTGGCTCACACAATTTAGATACCTATTTTTTTCTACAATGCAACTGTGTGTTGGCATTGCTGTTGCTCTTGGGTACTTTCTTTTCCAACTTACTCTCAGTTGAAGTAGTCACTATCCAACCACCATCCATCACTATCTATTGCTATCATAAGCCAATTTCTTAGCCAGTCTCCCCACAACAGACAGAGAAAGGAGAAAGTTACTGTTTTCAAATGAATGTTTGATCTGTGACAGTTTGTAAGACAAGCTAGTTTAATGGTGTCTGTGCTGTATTTTGTCTTCCTAGGTATTTCGTAGCAGAAGTATGCAGAACAAAAGCTTGAATGCTAACAACACTGGTCTAACTCAGGTTGCATATTACCTATTTCTGTATGAAATCAAAGAATCTAAGCAACAATCTTCCCTCTTCCCATAATCCCCTCCTTTTTGACCTGCTTGTTAACACGCACTTCCAGTTCTTCCTGTGAAGCCATTCTGTAATAGCGCCCTTGAAATTCTGCAGCGAACTCCAGTGAGGGATTTACAGAGCAGTCAATCAGTTCCCCTTTCTCTGCAAGACTGACAGGACAGTACTGTCCACACTCCCCCAGCTGATTCTGCAGTTCCTTGGGAGTGATACATAAACCAGCAATGCTGGCTGCTTTTCCTGTTAATGAAAGCAATTAATGATAATGTTTTATTTATGAGAGACATAGAAACATCCAACAATTCTACTCAGTCTAGAAGGTAATTCATAATTTGAAAATTATATGAAATAATGAGAACTAAAACAGCAATTTGATAATAAAATGAAGTTATAACTCATTTTACCAATTAATTGAAATAACATTTTTGTAGCATTTAAGAAATATGACCATTATTAATGATGTGGGATACTCTGCACGCTCAGCTTATTAGTCTACTCTTCTTATTTATGATTTATTGTTTCACTCTTTTGTGTCACTAAGGGACATTTCAGCTATTATTTTATTTCTTTGCATTGGTGAAAAAGAGTATAAGGTGTGATGAAAACCGCCCCTTTATTCATGCATATCTTGCAAATTTTACATTCTATCTGGAGGAAATATATTCAAAATCTTGAGTAAAATGTCATCTCAAATCCAAATTACTTTAAAATCATGCTTTTTCAAGCTTGATGTGTAAAAGTTACGTGTATTTTATTATTTTTGATTATGACTCCAATTTTTAAGAGGGGTGCAGCCACAGAGCTGTAAAAGTTGTATATCCGCCGAAAGGTGGATATAAGATAAGGAAATATATTTGCCCTTCAGAGGAATTCTGGTTAAATAGTACAGACATGTTTAAAAGGCATATTTAATCCTGACCAGCGCTGACACACAAAAAGCCAAGTGGGAACTGTGCCATTTTAGAATAAAGTGGTCTCCTTCCCAAAGCACAGAAATTAACTCAGATGGCATATTTAAGCTTATTTCTAGATTCTAAATTAACATCTTCCCTCTCCCTCCCTCTTCCTTTACTAACACTAAAGTAAAGCTGCAAGTTAGAGTTCCCCTTGTACCTTTGGGGTACTCTTTGTGATTTACCACCCAGTGTTGCCAGATCTACCATGGACCAGGGACTCTGACTTCCTTTAGCAGATTTCTGTTACCCTTTTCTTTGGAGGATGGCCTCAAACTGCCCTGTAGTTGAATTTGTCTTCACTCTTTTCAAGAGATCTCTTCAAGATCTCTGCAGATGAGATTGAAGAATTTAAGGGTATGTATGTGCCCAAGAATTAGCCTCATCCAAAGAAAGGTGAAGTTGTCATGCACATAGTACATTGCAGCTTTTTAAAGAAAAATATTTTGGGAAACTTTGTTTTTCTTTTACCTTCTTTTCTTCTTTCCAGGTATATCTGGATTTTTTTAACAACCGCCTGAACTTCCTGCAGAATGGTGTTCCAGACTTTCCATTTGCTATGATTGGCATCAATCACACACCAGTTCTGATGTTCCTTCATATAGTAAGTTCTAATATCATCAATGTGCTGTTTATAACAAGAATTTTTAATAGCTAGAATCTGTGGGCTGTCATGTTCAGGATAGGAAGGCCTAAAGACAATGAAAAATAACAGTGATTTAAATGTTAAGATTAGATAATTTCATTGAATTTCAGGTGTAAATTCTAGAGTTCACTGTAAGTTCTTTTTACAAAATTTTTCTTATGTGACACTGTAGAACGTATTTGAGAAATACAAATTTCTTATTAAGAATATTACCAGCTACATGTGAAAAGCAGTGTACTTATGATCAGACAGTCGTGTTCAAAAATGAAGAACAAAACTTTTTCTATTTGTGTCCCAAATACAACTCAATAATTATTTTGCAAAGGATTTGGAATGTCTCAACACATATTATCTGACACACACCACAAATACACCATTAAATGGTACCCTGATATTGCACACTTGGTTTGTACTTAAGCTTATGAAATATAATTAGTTTGGTATTTAAAATGAAGTTTAAAGTAAATACTTTCAAAAACACATCACTGATTTAATTTTTTGCAATGCAAATTGTCTTTAGTCTTTTAGTAAACAATTTAACATTGTACTGATTACTTGATAAAAAGAAAGAGACAAAAAGAAAAGGACAAAATGAAAGAGGCATGCAATAATGCTCCAAGCTATCTGGAACTTCTTAGAAAAACTTCCTCTAATGAGAAACAGGTTCTTACACAATTTAATTTTAAGGTGAATGTTCTGTTCTTTTTCATTCTCTGTCTGCTTATAAACTACTTACTGTTCTTCCTCAAAAACAACCAACGGCTCTTTAAACAGAATATTTATCTTCTCAGAAAAACAAAGAAGAGAATGAACTGAATTGAAAGGCTTAGAACTCCTGAATTCTGTACATTACTAAATCTGCATTATTTCTGTATTTTTAAAAGAACTCTAAGTTTTTAAAAGAGAGATTATTAGATTAAGTATCAATATCTTTTATGATAATAATTGATGAAAAATAAATTTCAGCAGCAGAGAGAAGTGGTAACATTTCTGATGTACAGTTTCATAAAACCAGCTAAACTAAGCAGTGGGTGCACAGCATTGCACATTTGTAATCTCAATCATGCAATAAAGGGATCTGGCCAGAGCATGCCCCAGGCACCTTACATCCATGTTTCTGGTCTATGGAAACCAAAGCATTAGAAAGGAGAGGGACTGGTTCCCGTGTTTTTCATATATGGAGTTCAGAGACAGCTGAGTTAAACTCCAGGTTAGATACAACCTCTGAGTATAGCACTGAGGCACTTAAACAGAGATATTACAATATTGTGCAGAAAATAAAAGGAATTCTATCAGGGAATATCACTACCGGTTTGTGCTTTCCTTATCCAACAGTGCTCTTCTGAACACTTCCTTTGTATCCATATCTAATTCAAAGATTTTCACTGGAATTATCCTAGTTGATTTCAAGAGGTTTACGTGGTTTCTTGTTAGAGGATATCCATCAATTACAACTCTGCACAGAAACAGAAACAGAGAAATAGTTTTCATAAGAAGTGAATTTCCAATCAACCAGTAAGTCTGTGTATATTTCTAGTACATTTTCCACGGAGACAAAAGTCTACACCCATGCCATGAAGTCATCACTGCTCTCACTTGATAGGCACAGTCTTCACTCCTAAGAATTTATGACCAAATTAAAAAAAAATCAAGTAGGTAAAAGAAGAAACATGAAAGAGAAGCTGAAATAATTCTGATCTCAAACACAGATAATTTTCAGAGATTATTGTAGAACTGCCTTTCTCTGCAACAATTCTCCTTTTTGGGGAGAAAAGCTGAATGTCATGAAATACTGCCTAGTTTCAAAGATGTTTCAGTCGTGGAGAAAGAGCCTAGGATCATGTATGAATGAGGTCGAAAGACTCACTGGTTTCAGTTCCTCCTGAATAACTTCAGTTAAGAAAACCAGAAAAAAAAACAACTTCAGTACTCAACCAGTCTGCATGATCAAAGAGAATCAGGCATGTCCAAGTTGGTTCTGGACTTGGTATAAGAGAGACCAAATGTTAGTTTTCAAAGGATAGTAGAAGATACTGGCTTATTGACTGAAAAAAACTAACTGTCATAAAGTATATTACTTTTATTTACTGGAATATAGTTACTTGAAAATTGCAGAAAACTATGCTTCAGTCTCATTTCCCAGAGCAATTGTAAAAAAAAAATCTCCTTTTGTACAGATTATTTTCTTAATGCAGAAACCACTGATGTGTTTTAGTGAAACTGTTTTACAGCGGTAACATGTCTATGAAGGGACTGGCATGTCTTGGAGAAACCCCCAAAATCCCCAAGAAGACTCTTACCCAGTGGCATTATCCACGTGATTCAGCAGAGCCACATCTAGAGCCTGGATGGCCAATTCATCAGGTACGGTGAGTCCTTGGAGAAGGTGTGACTGTACCTTAAGTGCCAGCTGGCTCTCTGGCCGGTTGTTTATCACAAACTGGATGGCATCTCCTAAGGACAGGTGCAGGAATCCATAAACACTCGCAAGTCTCTGGGCAACTGCAAAATATTTTGATTTCAAGTCACAACTTTAAAGGTAAGCAACATCACATATGCACAGGGCATGCTTACACTATTCAATTTAGCACAAACCTCAGCAGATATTATTACAGTATTATTACAGTGTGTTAGAAAATATGCCTCCATTGCTGCTCCTCTTACAGAATAGCCCATCAGTTACATAATTTATCCAGAAAGTGGGAAATATGGCAAAATTTCATCCTAAATATGAGATAATTTGAACCTGTCTCTTTTCTTCCTAACATCTTATTCTAATCAATAACTATGGTTTAAAATTAATTTCCTCCTCCTCCAGTTAAAGGCAGAAGCATGTGGATTGACAGAGTCATGGAGGAGGAAGGGTAGGGGATAAGAATGGAAATCTTGTAGGATTTTTAATCTAGAAATTTGGAAACAGACTGGGGAGTGGGGAGTTTGGGGTCCTCATTCTTGATCCTAGGACTATTTCTCCATTTTACATTAGCTTACTGAAAAAAGTAAGAAACAATTAGAAAATAATAATAAATAATACAAGGGGTATAAATAGTGTAAGTCCAGTTTTTCTAAGTGCAAGTCCAGGTCACTAACATCTTAAGGACCTGGGATAAAATTCAGATGTACAATGCATAAGTATCAGACTGTCAAATGAGACACTAGAGAATGTAACTAAAAGAATCTGTGCCCAGCAAGAAAAGCAGGAAGACCAACAATATTAATGGTTTATGATTTTTTAATAACAGTAAGGACAGATACAACTTCAGTCATTAAAAAATGTTTCTTTTTAACAGATAACTGCTCATACCTGTAGTCTTTCCAGATTTTGGAAGTCCCACAATTGCAATCTTTACTGGCACAGATAACTTAGGTTTTGGCTGACAAATATATTTGATGGGATTTGTCATAAACGTTTCTTTATTTTCTTTACTTGAAAAGAAATAAACATATTGTCGATGGATTACTGGAAAGACTGCACTTCCCTGTCTTTGCTGTGGCTTGATCACATCTCCTTGGCTTAACTGTATAATATACAAAATGAGAATCAGTTCATTAGGTTTGACAAAGCTTCTTCTTCCTCTGTCCCAGAGAAGTGGCTTTATAGGCAGGTAGAGTAGTACCAACCGAATGAGACAAACCATCAAAGCATCCTGAAATTCACACATATGGACATAATATTTTGCTCAAATCTAAGAAACTTCTATACCTACACTTCTTATTCAAAAAGGTGAAATAAACATTGAAGACAGAAAGAATACTTGCTATTTCCAGTAGGTGGTACCGTAACACTTTGTCTGTCAAGATAGTGTAGTCAGAAGATTAACATAATCGATTTTTTAATTTTCAAAGAATAAAGAGAATAATTTTATTCCTCAGTGAATTAAACTCAACTGCCTGCCTGCCAACAGAAAATACACTGAGAATATTGTATTCATCAGAAGTCATATACAAATGAAGATGTAAAAAGATAATCAATACTTACATTATGGTCAAGTGTAAAACCACAACAAGATAAGCTGAAAAAGTTCTTGGAAAAATACATGCACTGCTGATGAAATCTTTTCAAACACATCAGACAGCCCACTAAAAAATCTGCAGTGTTGATGAATCATTGACATGTAAGAGATGCAACTGTCAGAAATAGTCATTGAAGTAATGCCAGATTAATTCCTTGCACTACTCTTTTCTATGGGAAAACTTAGTTTCTTCCAAGAAGGGCTGCAACAGGAACATGACTATCTTAAAGTGTCAAAAAAAGATGTTTTAAAACAAAATGTAGAAAAATCATATGTAGAAAAAAATTGCCCAGACCAGATGGCATTCACCTTACTATTTTAAAGGGACTCAGAAGTGTAATTCTGAGTAATGTGTAACACTGACTTTTCTTCAACAAAAAAAGGAAGGTGGAGAAAATTACCATTTTTTAAAAAGCTGTTTCCTCCAGTGTAGAACCTTGGAAAAGTAGTCCAGTAAATCTGACTCTGTATTGTGCAAACTGAAATACATTAAGGAAAAAAACCCTGTAGTTACATGCATACATATCAAAAAATAGGGAAGTGCCAAGTCAGCTTCTTGTCAAAGAAAATCATACCTCACAAATCTATTACTATTCTTTGGAGGAGTCAGTAAGGTTGGTCTGGTTATTACAGCTAGAGATGGGGTTGTTCTACTGTGTGGCATTGTCCTGCCAGACTCTTCTCATATCCTTAGTTTCCGATTCCTGCACCAACTCATTTCAGGGTGCTTGCCCTCAATTTATGGATTTCATGAGTCTATTCTACTGCATATCTGCTTCCATTCTTCACTCAGCTCATAATGTTTATTCTCTGCTTATCTAATCAGTTGCATAACTACTTCCCCTCCTGCCCAAATTTAATCTCAACATAACTGGCATATACTCAATCTGCCTCTCTACTCCAAATCTTCCAGTCTGTAATCAATTTTATAATTTCTATTATTATCCTAAAATGCCCTCAAAATTATCCTATTTCCCTTTCATTTTTATCAGCTTGTACATTTTCACTGTGAGGACATCAATCTTATTTTAGCCAATAGCTTCCTATGACTTCTTTCTTCTAACTAAATTGTATTTTTTGGTTAGTAAAAAACACTGTATAGAACAAAGAAGTGAAGGGGAGAAATGGAATACAAAAATGTAGTGAAATCTGATACAACAAAATGCAAGGACTAGGTTGTAGAGACTAATTGCAATTAAACACAGAAACTGTGGTTCAGTAGTTGGAAATGACCTAAGTGTAGACATATCTACTTTAATTAGTATGTACCTAGATTATTAGATGCCAATTGATGCAGCCATGAAAAAGAATGAAGATTCTGATCCTAAAGTTAAAGAGAGACATATGTGATCTGGAACAGGTGAAGACCCAACATGATGCTATACAAAAGGTTAGATTAATTGGCACAGTAAAATGAAGGCCAAAGTATGTTTCCTTCAGGGCCTTCATGCTTTCTGTATGTTGTTCATTGGACTTTTTTTTCAATTAGTCTTCCTTTTTAATTTTTATTTAGTCACAATCCAATCTGGTTTTGTTCCTAGCATTAAAACAAAATAATTACCTGCAAACATTTCATTTCCTACCTTGAGGATAGTGATGAGTACTTTCTGACCTCAACTTTCAGGATCTCTAGTAAAATACCATGGAAATAGATTTGTTGCTCTTCAGAATTTTTCAATTTTGACAAGAAAGAATTATTCCTAATGAATTAAGTACATCTAACATTTTTTGCCACTACTAGGTTTGGTGGGCAGTTGTGTGTGTGGCTTATTAGAAATTCATACTCCAAATCCTTTCAGTTTGTTCTCACTACTATTGAAGGTTTAAAGACCTTCTCTGTTGTCCTGTGTTTTGTGTATCATTAAGAGTCAGGCATTTCTTTCTCATTCAATATCACCTTTAATCATGTCACCAATGGTAGTGTAACAAATTTTACTAAACGCCTCTCTTAAATTAGCTGCAACACTGAAAAGAGCAACAACTTTTATTATTAATGCTTGCTGTAGTTTGTGTATATTCAGTGGTGTAATTATGATTCAGTACTGTGGTTTTCATTAAATATTTCTGGTATTAGTTGCTACTGTCTGATAACATCTTGTTAATGTGAAATACATTTTTAAAAAGTGTCAACTCTTGAAAATATTCTTCAGCCATTTAAGAACATTACCTTGACTGGATCCCACTGACCAAAAGAACTTAGTAATTTATATGAGAAAACTAGCATCTTCTGTGCAAGTGGCAAACTTATTGGGTAACATTTCTCAAAAATGCTCCTCCGGTTCTCCACTAGAGATTTCAGCTTGCTGTATATTTGGTAGCACACAACGCGAGGCTTCCGACCTCCATTGATCTCAACTAGTGGTATTAAAAACCTTTCAAGTTCTTCCTGGTTATGAAAACATAATTAAATATTAGAATCATAAATGCAATCAGATTTTTAATAGAGACTGACGGCAAGATTTTCTGTGAACTATCAAGGATTTCTTAAGCATGTTCTCAGGTAACAAAAATCAGCAAAGTTTGATGGGAATTGGTCTTCCTGCCCACTGAGTTTAAACTTCTGTATTTGGTGTCACACTGCTACAATATTGTATTATTATCTGGATTTGTAAACCTCTCTGGTCAGTGGATAGAACTTCTTTTAAATCATGATTAGTTTATTTCTGAGGTGAGATACTTAGTAGATAATACGCAAATGTTACCGATCTACCTACTGCCTTAGATGTGGCCTTAGCACTGCAGATACCTGGTGTTAGATGAGGTTACCTCGCCATAGGCAATTGCACTGATTTCAAGAAAATTATGTCACTAGGTGTGGGAATGGTGCCAAACACCTGGCATCTTAACCGAGATTAGATTTGGATTTTTTCTTTACATTTGGTTTCATCACCAACAACTAGGAACTGCATTTAAAAACAGAGCTGTCTAGTGACAATTTTGCCTCAAAAATTATTTTGAAATATTGTTCATACAGTCACAACTCTCCAGGTTGGTTGCCTGTGTCAACTGACCTATCAAAAATGAAATGACACCAAGACTGGATATGTCTACCCAAAATTTTCTTTTTTTTTTCTCTACTATATTCATCATATAAATTATATACTCTTTAAAGTCTATACCTTCTCAGTACAGTCTTCATCTTGTTCACATACCTAGATCATGAGTACAGGAGCATGGTTATTTAGGCACTGTAATTTTTAAATGTAAAAAATAAATATGGAAATTCTTCTTCATGCGATCATATAATTTAACAAAATAAGCAGTGGTATCAGTACCTGAACAACTTGTAACCTTTCTACTTCTGATTCAAACTTCCCTGAAATTTCATTTTCCATGCGCTCAACAGCATCTTCTTCATTTTCTTCCTCTTCTGGTTCTTCTTCTTCTTCTTCTAAAAACTCTTCTGCAAGTATAGCTTCAATATCTTCATCTTCCTCGTCCTCCTCAGTAGCTTCATCATTATCCTTATTTGCTAAAGCCTATAAAGACAAAATATTTTGTTATTTCATATCTATGATACAGATATTTTGAAGGAACATATAGTATTCTTGTATATTTTCAAATTTAAAAAGCCAATAATTCAACAAAACCTCATTTTGGGATATCCTTTATCATATGCAAAAATCTAGTAAATTCTAGAATCTTATTTCAGGAGAAAATACAGCAGTATTGCATAGTGCATACAGTGAAGCATCATATCAGTTCCAAGAGTACTTAAAAAACCAGGAGAGCTACACTGCAGTTTTAATAAGAGGAGTGTTTTTTCATACATGGTATTGTAGTTTGACAGGACTTCGTTATAAACAAACATGTCTGGTGCAAGTGTAGCTGACAGAATATCATGAGCAGTCAAGTAGTACATGAATGCATTTATAAATATATTATGTCATTGACTTTAGGCAGAAATCCTGGTACAATTCTATTCTGGATTAATCATGGATTTGACAGTGTACTTAAAGGCACATGCCTAATTTCAATTAGTGAGGCTACTCCTATGCTTACAAATTAGATATATTAAATACATTCATAAGTATTTTCCTGAATTGAAGCACATATGGAGAATTCTTTTAAAATACTTTTTAGTCTTCATGAATCCACAGTTTCTAAAGAAATTTAAACATAATATAAAATTAGCTTTGAAAGTCAAAGTTTCTCACTGTATACCATAATGTTACTGTTCTACATTGACCTGAAGTCTATGACGAAAAGCTCTAGAAATTTCTATGGTATGAATGCAAACGCTTCTATTTAAAAACTATCTTATTAGGTTGTTTTCTTACCTCCTGCTTCTTTTTTTGTTGCTCTGCTAAAAGTTCTTCCCTTCTTCTGGCAATCTTCTCATTCTGTTAGTGAAAAAAAGATGTAAAAAGACTAATAAAAGCTCCTCTCTGAAAATTGGGAATGTAATCTACAATTAACACCTTAAAATTCTGTTCCAGTTCATTCTAATGTTAAAAAAATACTACCTAGAGTTTGAAATGTTGCAGACCAGATATACCAGTCTACTAGGCAAACATGTAAGTATATTTTAGAAAAACTAATTTGGCAATTTCTGAGATTGAGATTGGAGGAAAAAAAAAGACTGTGATTTTTATCACACTAAAAATATAGTAATAGGTTTATTGGTAAACTACTAAAAACTAGAGTTTCTAAATTTATAGGTGGTTTCTGCCATTTGGCAAAGGGGTGACTGAATATGGTAGTAAATGTATGGTGTTCCCTTTGACTGTTTAGGGTTATTAATGTTATTGTATGACTCTTGTCCCAAATTCCATTGTCCTAATTTCCTGTGTGTCAGCTGCTCTGTAGTAATTATGCTCAGACCTTTCCTGATATTACATGTGAAGTACCTTGTCTCATTTTTATGGAAAGTGAGGAACCTTAAATGTATTACATGTGCCAAATGTAAATGTCTGCACAGAAGCTTCAGGTTACCTCAACCAATTTTTAATCTGTTCAATAGTAGGCACAGCTTCATCTGAATGGCACACAGAGCAGCTGCAACAGCACTGAGAATGTGGCTTAGAGTTACTACATTCCTGTGCAGAGTATAAGAGCTGGGAACACAGACACACTCTGCTGATCACCCCAACAGCACATGCTCAGGGAATCTGGGATGCAACAATACTACAGTGCATGAACTGTCTATTTGATTTTATGACCATATTCACTCCCTCAATCAACTTGCCTTTTTTCCCACACTTTCCAGGACTGCCATTTATCTGGCAGCACAGCTACTTTTCTTGGGCTGTGAGATGCCCAAACTCCTACATGCATTAATTGCATAGAAGAGGAAAGTAGCCCTAAATTATTTTTTGTTTCTATAGTAAGCCTAGGAATGCTGTGCATGTTTAGGACTGTGTCTCCTGGCTACAATATCTATTACTCTGTGTGCTCTTCACAGCTTTGGGATTTTCAGAAACTGTGTTCAGACCTCTCCTGTAGAAACAACAAAAATGCCATAGGGTTTACTTACTCTTAAAAACTTACCCTTGATTTTGCTTTTAGTTCCTTCAATTTCTTTTTATATTCCTTTTTTCTACGCCGTCTGTCTTTCCATTTTTTCAGACGTGGAGGAAGAAGACGGACAAGAATGTCATCTTCCTCTACTTCAATATAAACTGCAACATCAGGACAGAGTCCTCGGTCTGACAAATATCTGGCTTCATCTACAGTACGAGGGAAGCCATCCAGTATAAAGCCTGTGGACCTAATTGGAAAATAAGATATTTATCATTACTCAGTGTAGTTTAAAGTGCAACACAGTGAACATATAATTATTTTGAAAAAAACCACTACAAATCCTCCCATATTAAACGCATATGTTAGGAGTAAAATTTTAAAAATACTTTCAGCTAGTATCTTTTGACAATGTAAAACTGATATTTCTCTGTGTATTTTAATTAGTATACTTACAAATTAATTTCTTTTGAGGTTTTAATGTGCAATGCTTAAATATTTTTAAAGAACTTAAAGAAACCAAAATTAATTGTCTTCTCAGACTTGCTTGTGTGACTCTAAAAAACAATACTTCTTAGGCAGTGGTCTCAAAAACTATAAGGTGCCACCTGAAATACTTTTCTGGTAACAACTCTCAAAGAAAGCTTGTGCCTGAAAATTTATGTTTCTTCTGTAGTACAGGATGAGAAATCTGCCATTCAGCACGAGTTATATTTCTCTTCCTGCAGATGTTAAGAACAAGTCAGTTATACCTGGAAAGCTCTCTTACAATTTCATTTTAGATGAGTAGTTATGTAAAGATGAATGTTGTGTTGATAAGAAGCCAATATTTATATCTATTACTTTAGACTTTAATAGGATACATTGTAAAGTTGCAGAAAACCAAAGAAGCTAGAAGAAGTGGAAGTGGAGGGAAGAACAGGTAGCCCTGGTGGGGAAGAAGAGTACAACATAGTACAGTTTGGTAGTGTAATGTATTGTGATGTGATATAATACAGTACAATATAATCTAATACAGTATAATTTTACAGCATTATGCATAATGCTGGGTAATTTTTTGTCTTGGTGCATTCTTTTTTTCCTAAAACTGATGTTCCTGTTTTTACACTGTGTAGAGAACCATTGCCTCCCATCTGTAGCCAGGACAAAAATTATATAAAAATATAAAAGGTTTGTTTTCATATCTATACTGTAAGACCATGAAAACTACCCAGCTATTTATGAGATTTAATCCAATCCAAGTGTGCCAAGTTCTTTTGTCCAATCCTGTGTGCAGCACATGAAACATGATATTACTGTCAAAATGTCAATTAAAATAGTACAAGAAAACCAAGACTGACAGGTAGGTCACTACTACTAAAAAGTACAAGAGCATTGAAATAATCTCTGCGATAGTTATTTACAATTGTGGACACAATGCATGATATACTTCCTAAAATTAATTAAAGAAAGAGAGAATCTAATTACAGTTACCGGAATGGCTCTTCCTTCCACCAGCCAGGAACAATCTTATCGAGGACTCCTGGAGGCAGTTCCGTATTATCCACTAGATTTGCTTTGATTGCCTCTTCCTCATCAGTCAATTTCACTTCCTTTAGGTAAAGAAAATCCACCAAAAATGAAAAAAAACCCCAAAAATCAGAATCAACCAACCAACCAAACAAAACCAGAAAGCACATATCCACTTGACACATTTATTGTTTTTGGCTAAGTAGGATGCTGTCTTCATTTGACTTAGACCAGCAGAAATAAACTCATTTGCTACATTGCATCATACTACATTATAGATTTTAGGCAATTCCCTAAAATTAGGGCAAATGCTGCTGTATGAGTTTTAATGAAACCTAAAATCAAGCACAGCTGTTAAGTATTTAATTATATATGTGCTCAGTTCAGAGGAATAGAAACTGAAATGAGCACAGTTTCTCCTAGTTGCCTACAAGCAGTTTTCCACTTGGCTACATCTTCCCATGCTGGAAGACTACCTGCATCAAAACGTTTTCTCACTTTTTGAAAGCAACTATTAGATTTGGATGGATGCCAAAAATATGTTGAAGAAAGATATGTAAGATTATTTGGTACAGGCAGAAGAACAGATACCAGACAGATAGCATGTTCTAGACTATGTATTACACTAGACATTTGACTAGTCATTAGTATTAATGACTAGTCAAATACAGAGTATTCAAATACCAAATCTAACTTCTAAATTCTTGTGTAAAACTGTT